CGTCTCACGACACATGAAGACATAAGTGCTGAATTGAATGTCTCGCTCTATTACCTTTTTTGCTTGTCAATCTATTCTTCAATACATTAATATTCCATTGATTAACTTGAAGAGTATGTGATCGAGGTCCTGAGCAGAACCACATTCACATAATGGAGACTCCTTGATTTTGATTTAATGTAGGTGATTGATTGTGAGGCAGTGATTACTTCTCATGCGGCATACAGTTGGTATCTCGCTCCTTGTTAGGAAAGAAAATGAATTGAACCAGGGTACTTTCTGGGGGTGTGCACCAAAGGAGTTTAACTTTTTGATTTCCACTCAGCTCATGGAAGTGTTGACCCACTTGTTCCAGGTTTGCTCCTTCAATATCACTTGAATATCCTGATTTGGCCAATGAGTCTGCTCTATTCGATTACGGAGATGCCAGTGTGGCTTGGGATCCACGCTAATTGCATTTGTTTACCTTAGGCCTTTATCTGCTCGATTTTTTCTCTGGCTTTCAGAGACTGATATTCTTTTGTTGAGGAAATATCACAGTTTGCTATATTCTCTCAAGTGCGATCTTTGAATCCGATAAAATTATTGAATGGATAATACCTAACTCTTGAGTCTTCTCCAGGGCTACTTTAATTGCGAAAACTTCAACAGGACAGATTGAGAATGTCGTAGAAAGCTTTGCAGTTTACTTTAGAACCATCCTTGAATATCATCTCCGTAGGCCATTTTCCCTCGCCTTATGGTGAATTCCATTTTATAGTCACCTTCCTTGGTCAGCCCAAGATTTTTGATAGGAATGGAAAATAATTGGGTTTCCATTGGAAATAGGTAACATGGGAGCAGAGGATGATTTGGAAGCTGTGGACGATGAATTGTTAGAAATGAAAATGCATCAATCAGAGGGGGAACTGCTGTTAATCTCCCTAGGTTTCTCGTCATGTATACCGTGTTAAAATTGGTTACGTAGATACTTGCTGGATTATTCAAGAACAGCTTCAAGAGAAACTCTCCCGCTAACCAAAACCTATTTTCCAGTGGCATTTCTCCTGTTTCCGACAGTAGAACGATGGTTGGGGTGGATCTCATTGCTCCCAGAACTACCCGAAGAGCTCGAAATTGAACCCTGTCTAGTTAACCAAGCAGCTGCTTTTGTTACACATTCCATATAAAATGCAACCAAAGTCAATGTGCGACCTAACCAGTGCATTATACAAACTGAGAAGAGTAAGAGGATGTGCTCCCCACCATGTTTTGCAGAGGGCTTTTAGCAAGTTGATACTTTTATGTGCCCGGGAGATTATTTTATCTATGTGTGGTTTCCAAGACAGTGCAGTGTCAAATATAATTCCCAAGTACCTGACTTTTCCTTTTCATGGAATGATTGATTTGTCTAGAAAAGGAAATTACTTCTGCTTTCTGAGGTGACAGAGATAAATAATTGTTTTCGAATAACCATTAATTGTTCTGTATCCATTAAAGTAGCATTGATCTCGTGTGAAACTTGTTGAAAATCTACTCCAGAATCAAGTACAGCAATAACATCTGCATACTGATAAATAGCAGCATTTGCCTCCCAGCAACCCTGAATTGAATTGACATAGAGATTAAACAATAGGGGACTAAGAGGTGATCCTTGAGGAAGTCCCCAATTGGAGTTTTCCGGGCCTATGGAATTGAATTGACACAGAGATTAAACAATAGGGGACTAAGAGGTGATCCTTGAGGAAGTCCCCAATCGGAGTTTTCCGGGCCTATGGTTCGTCCGGAGCTCGGATCTCTCAGGTGGATTTTTCTATTTGAAAACAAATTAAAGATGAGGCAGGACATATTGTATGGAACATCGTGGGCAGAAAGTATTGAAATGAGTTTTGATAAATTGATATTATCATAGACCGCTGTAACGTTTAGTATTACGACCATTGGGGGCGAGGTAGGCGCGAGGACGAAGAGTCAGTATTCTAATCCGCGTTCGCTTGCCGGTCGTGGGGGCAATTCCCCGCCACTGCAGAAATTAGTCTGATGGCCGAAGAAAGTGTTTGGGAGCACAAATAAAAGGTAAGGCCCTCGTCATTCCTTGCTCGCACAAGTCTCTTGGCTCGAAAGGGGGCAACCTAATGACGGATAAGAACAATTTTAAATAATTATTTTTTCAAACCATGACTGCACGTTCCTTCCAGGATCTCACACGATTAAATCTACAATAAATTGCTGCAAAGTTCTCCATTACCCCTCTACCATTTCTGAAGCCTGATTACCCAGGTTCGATGATATCGAAGCTTTATTCGAAATGCCAATCAAGTCTATTTTTGATCATTGTTTCTAGTTATTTGCGCGGACAGGTTGGAGAGATTGGTCTCCAACCATTTATAGGACAGAGATCTTTGCCATTTTTCGGGATGTATCATTCCACTCCCTAGGTGGCCTGACTCCATTCTCATGAAACAGTTAGGTATGCTATGAAGCCCCGAACAAGAGTCCTTTTTGTAGGATAGAGCGAGTCATTTCATTGAGACTGAATGGTTCACATATAGAAATCAGTTACCCTAGGAGCCTCATGGGGGGGGGGGTATAGGGAAAGATAAGGAAAACTAATAACACTCCCAGTTAACACAAACATCTATGAGATGTCGCATTCATGGCAGTTGATGTCACAAAAGCGAATCACAATATTGCATCGCTGATATCTACAAGGAATTCCTTGTGTGACAGATAGTTCACAAATTTCATCACATTCTGTTGAATCTGAGACCAATATGGATATAATATTTATGACGCCCCTCAACTTCACAAAGACTATAATTCGAGAATCTGAAATTTCAGTAGTTGGGAGTCACAATTTGATGTATCTGAAACGACAAACTGATTCACATTGTGCGGAATGAAAAAACGAAGATATGCTTCAATTTGTGAGTCTCTCTCACATCTCAAGGAAATTCATTTATGAATGTAATATCCAACGATACTTGGAAATCTCAGTGTACTCACATACTCATGAATGTAGCGCACAATGTGACTTATGTTAAGATTCGTACACACTCGGCCGGTGTCGGTCTGACTGATGTACACGTGTCTGTGAATTCTTTAGCGACGGCATGCTTTTGTCTCATCCATTTCGTTTCAGTTCATTCGGTGTCAGGGTGTTAGTATGCAGTTCGTGTTTGGTATTATTGCTCATACTGAAGCATCTCTTTCTAATCGTAAATCATGATTGTGATTAAAGATACTGTGTGTTTCTCATCTACTGCGCCAATATGTAGCAATTCAAGGTGTGCGGATATGGATTCACAGAATTTTTCAAAACCTTTTCTTCTTCTCTGAGGATTTTCCGATTTTGCGCTCTGACCTTTTTCAATTTTATAAAGTTTTCAGTACTTCTAACTGGTTTAAAGTATGAGAAGGCTCGTCTTCTGCTGTGGATGAGTTCTGTGCACTCATCATCCCACCATTGATGTTGAGGTTTGGAAGTCTTAAAGGTTTTTTTTTGGATGCTATAATTACCCGCTTCCGCTATATGATGTCAATAAACTCTCCATAGGTGAATGAGTCTCTTTTTTAACACTATTTTCGATTTTTTCATTTGATTCATTCATTCATTCACTTCATTCATTTATGATTTGAATGATGTCAATGTTAGGTATAAAAAGTGTAATAGACCAACTTAATAGCAGGAATACCTGGAAGATGTACTTTTGTCATCCTCCATGGCCTTTTCGGAAACTCTTGGGCTGTTTTCTGAAACTTGTTTTTGTTCTCGCTGGGGATGGAAATGGAAGGCTTTGATGAGCAGACATGTCAAACCCTTGCATTTCTTGAGAAGGCGTTATCCTTCTTTTTGTGCCAGCAGCAACTCTTGAATAGCTTTGTTGAGGTGAAACTTGGTTAGGAAACTGGGGAGTTGTGAGACCCCCACGGCAATGGACGGAAAATCGTGTGATCCTTTATATGGGTTTTGTCTTGGGGAGTGGAAGAATTTGAGGGAATAATTTTGATGCTTGGAAAAAGGAAATATTCTAAAAAACCATTGCTTCAGTTATTTTGTGCTGTCTCTCATGCTCTTTGCAGCCTCTATTGATGGCTAGGTGAGCATTGTTGCAAAATATACATTTGATATCTGGGCTCTCACATGGGTAACTCCGAGGGTAACTCCAAGTCTTGCACATCTCTTTTTACCCCTACACTGTCTCTTGGCATGCCCATATTATATCAGGCATTTATAGCACTGAATATCGGGAGGGGAGGGGGTATGTATGCTTCTAACTGATATAAATAATTATGCAAAAACACTCAAAGTACCCTGTACCTGCTACACTCAGAAGGCTACTACTGTAGTAGGTAATAGGTTTAAAATCAACTTCAATACCTAATGCCTATTTTATTGAGTCTTCTGGCATTTAGCTATTATACTTAATGATATCGTCCATTTCAATTGAGTATCCAACTCATCTTAGGAGGCCTTTGCATGTTAATAAACTTTGTTTAATAAACATGGTTTGCCCTTTTGTGAGCTACTTTTTTTTATTTGAAATGTTAATTTTTTCACCTTATTTTGACTTACTATCACAAAAGCACCCTGATTTTCAATGGAAAATTCTGGTGTCAAAATATCATGGTCTTTTTCAAACAAGCAGATATTTTGAAAATTCGGGAGCTTCTTCGAAATAAAGTCAAACTAAGGTGACAAAAAAAAAATTTCAAATAAAAAAAAATAACAATGTGTTTGGAACATGAAAAGGTAATTTTTCACAAAATTTTGTAATTTTTCTTGTAAAAGATAAAAACAAGAAAAAGAAAAACTTAGTTATTTGAATTTTTCACATAAATTTTGAGGTTATGTGAAAAAGTGTATACACAAGAGTTACAGATCTTTCTATTACCCAGCAATCTCATCCTTGAGTTGAGTTAGATCCTCCTTTTGAGCAGGTGACATGTAATGATAGCTCAATAACTCATTCTGATTTGACATATAATTAGAGATTTAAATACAATCAATAATATGAATCAGGTACTTACATTTTTATTGGTTAATAAAAAATAAGCAATACATTTAATTATATCACAGATATTGTGATATTAGAAATCCTGATTACCCCAGCGAATCTGAAAAATAATGGTTGTATTAATTTCTCATATAACTATATTTGAGAAGTTCATGCTTGCTCATGGATTTCAAGAAAAACTTCAATATGCTGTGTTCATGAAGCTGTAATTTCTTTATAACCCAATAGAAGTTAATTCAAGTTGGTTCAAACTTAACATGTGGAAATTTCACTGCATTTAGCATGGGATGGGTTTTTTTTCGGAAATTTTTTTTGTACTTATGTATTTTTGTCTGAAAAACACGAATTTTACAATGATAATGTGAACAAACCACTATTTATCAAAAAAAATTTCAAAAAAAAAGTTGGAAATTTCCACTCCTTTTTCTCCTTGTGTTGGATGCATTTACAGGTACTAAAATACTTAAGTACCAAATAAAATTTTCAAAAAAAAAACCATAGTATGATAAATGCAGTTTTACCATTATTTCAAATATATGATGGAAACCAAAGATATCAAACCAACTTACATCAGTCCTTGCCCTCAGTTTCCTTTCAATTAATCCACACAATGTTTCTGATCTCACAGACAAAGAATCAATCTTTTCAATAAGCTGTTGATAAGGAGACATTGGTTGTGCTCCCATCACCACATGGCCCAACTTAGAATCAATTTTAGCATCAAGTCTGGCATTTCTGATCAAATTTACAATCCAGCACTCTGCTTCATCAGGATTCATGTTCAGCTTTTCTGCCAACATCCCAATGCTGATGCACTGGTGAATTCTACAGAAAGTCTCAAATATCATCAAACGTGCATTCTCAACAAACTCATCCAGGCAGGATATGAGGAAGAAATCATTAGATAACACTGTCTGACATTCATGCAATTTTTGTCTTGCTCCATCAAAATCAAAGTTCACATAAAGATGTTCTAAAAATTCAGTGATTGGGTCTCTGAAATGAAATGCTTGTTAACTATGGACTTCCACTAATGATCTAGAAATAATATTTTGATGATTGTTATACAATTTTTAGTCCAATATAAAAAATGGAAACAGAACCATCATCAAATATTATTAAGTTTAATCAAATCAAAGCAAAATAATGAAGTATGCTCACACCTGTATGTGTAACTTTCTTGTTGAATAACTTTCACTAAATCCTTCAGTGCAGACCTCCTACCTCTATTAATAATGACAGCTGTTGCCAAGTATCTCAGTATATGGGGACACATAGTCTGGATAGTGTTGAGGTAATGAGGGCGGTACAAGAACATCTCAATTATCAGCTCTCTACCCATTGCATGATTGAAAAACACAAACAAAGAACCATGAATCAACCATGTTCTCTGTTGAAGTAGTTGCAAACTGTTGCCCCCAAACTGGTTTGGGCTGGAATCAATGTACTCTCTTAATTTGTTCAGATCTTCCAGAGCAGAGTCCCAATTTTGATACAAAATCTCTGAAGCAAATTTACCCCATAGAGCACTCAGATAGTTTGTGTCATTTGGTGGAAGAACCAGCATACAGAAGTATAGGTAAGAGGTAGAAACAGAGTAATTACCACATTCATATCTATACTTTGCCAATTTGTGAAGACTATCAATCATGTCCAAATCAAACTGAAAGGAAAAAAATGTTATTTGTTTATGTGGCTCATGACTAGTGAAATTACCTTGTAATCTTTTGATAAAAAGTTAACTAGGGTTTTTGAATCTCTCATATTCTCCATATTCTTCATCACTTCTTCATCACCCATGATTTGTAAAATCGGCTCAACTTCCTGTTGTAATTCTTGGAGTTGTGCTACAACATGAATACGTCTCTGTTTCAAATCTTCTGGAACCTCTTCATCTGGATACAACTGTTTCCTGATATCAATGGCATAATCAATCATGTTAGTTTTACTGAGAATGTCTAACTTCGCTTTGAGTAGTTCTGTTTCATTATAAATCTGTAAAATTATGTTATTATTTAGCACATGGGTGAACTTGATCTCATGGTTCCCCATGTGAAATACCTACTCCTTTAGCAGATAAAAATTCTAATAGAGGGAAAACTAAATGTCTGTCAAGATATTGACCCATTTTCGAAGTTAAATCGAACTTAGCCATTTTGAGAGCAGATATTAAAAATTCCGTGAAGAATATTAGCACCTTATTTTCCACCAAAAATTAAAAACAAAATCGAAAACCCGAAAGGCCGAACGCTGAAAAGTGACAAAGACAGAGCCGAAAACGTAAAACGTCATAGGTGCGTTCGGTTATAACATATCTGTTAGCTCGATTCCATCTGTTAGCTCGGAAAGCGTTCGATAAATCAGATCTACTTCCTCTGTCTAATCTGCTCCGTGTTCGTTAATTGTCAGAGCGAGCTGAAAGATGTAATCTGTTTGCTCCGCCTTGAGGAGCAGATCATTCAGATTTGATCGGTTATTCGGTTGTCAGTTGTCAACAAATCAATGTCAACAACATGTTATTGAAATTATTATCTCTTTTATGTCGAAAAATTGAAGACTCGATCAACTGGAAACGAAACACGAAACTGAATTTTGTAGAATCCTCCTTGCCCAGAATCGCCAGAATAACCGACGAATTTGCTGTAGGTAGCATATTAATTATATATCTGTAATATATGCGATCACAACTGCCCTGGATCCACAGTTAATGACCGTTCATATGAGACAGAATCATTCCTTCCCTGGTAATTTTCGAAATATAAACAACAAACATTCAATAGAACTTTGTTGCCCTGACATGTTTTTAAAAGTAATAAGGTTAAGTGAATTGTTTCTGTTTTCTGTTATTTCTGACAGCTGGCGCTCGCAATCTACTACCTCCTTGAGCGTTCGTTAAATATCTTTAGCTCTATCTGCTAGGTGATCACGTGACACCCAATCTGCATCTGCTCGCTCGGCTCCGATTTTGTTAAACCGAACGCACCTTATATTGACTGGGCTGACACCTGACACGAAACCCAAAGAGAACTCAAGCAGAGATCAGAGTGGGTGACTGATCTCTGACTCAAGCTTTCATGGCTAAATAACAAGGGAGAACTACACGCAAAATAGCGTGGATCTACGAAAGAGTAGAAGGGTCATCAAAAATGAAAAAAATCTAATTATTGCAACTTGTCACGTGCAGTAATTCAATTACTGCAACTTACAACTTGCAATAATTCAAAATACTGCAACATACAACTTGCAGTAATTGAATTACTGCAACTTACAACTTGCAGTAATTCGAAATACTGCAACATGCAACTTGCAGTAATTTGAATCACTGCACCTTATAACTAGCAGTAATTCGAAATAATGCAACATACAACTACCAGCAATTCGAATCCCTGCAACTTACAACTCGCAGTAATTCTAACACTCTTCTAACCAGTATTAGTACGAAAGGAACTGGATTACTTCAGTAAGATCTGTTGAATATTTTCTACTATACAGTCCAAGATTTCTGAGATGTCTTTTCAAGGTGCTTTCACCACTGACTGTTATATTATTGTTCAATGTTAGCACAGCCATCCATACAATTCCTTGTGGCTTTATCCCAAGTGAAAATAAAATTGAACCAACTCATCCTGATCCATTCTATTAGGTACCTATGTAATTGCCCCTGTAAAGGTATAAAAATATCGAAACAAGGTGGATGCAATCCAAGCTTTTGATGGTAAACTTCTATACGGTGTTAATAATGGAATCTAGCTGGTATTTAAGTTAACAGATTAGTTGATCTATGAGTTAACCTCAATTAATCTACTTCTCAGCCTGTTTTGTGCTTTAGTTACTGCAAGTTGTGAGTTGCAGTGATTTGAATTACTACTATTTGTATGTTGCATTATTTCGAATTACTGCTAGTTATATGTTGCAGTGATTCAAATTACTGCAAGTTGTAAGTTGCAGTAATTTGATGACCTTTCTACGCTTTCGTGCCCTTCTAAGCTTTCGTAGAAAACTAATGCAAAATGGGAAATGATGTATTAAAAGTGTTATATGTAGTTCTTGTCTCCAGATCCAGAAGTTCTAGCAGTTCTTCTGACTTGATAGTTCGGATGATGAAATAGGTCGCGTGCACGAAGACCGACCCTGGAGGCAAAATATTGAAACACAACCTCATTCTTCTGTGAATTATCGAAACACAACCTCACTTTTTTATTTGGTTACAGAGGAATCAAAAGGTAGAAATAGTTTTTCACAATATTTTGGCATACGAATCGTGTTTCTTGCCTTATTCATTAATTCAAGCATGCCTTCGCATTGTGCTGTTGTACAATGCACAAAAAATGCAGCAAGAGACTAGGGAATATGATTTTTCAGGTAAATAGTAATCTCACATAGTTAGCATTATGAAATGTTGTCATTCCTTATTAAAATTCCTCCTGCCTTCTGCCACTTCTGCAATACAAGCTAATGCTGCTAATAGATTGAAAATGTCTACAACACACACGATCGTCAGCATGTCAGACCACTCCTACCGACGAGCCTACCGATTGATTGCATTTATCCAATCTTCTTGCATTATTCTAGAAATTTCAGGTATATTTTTATTAGCTGATCCTATTGCAAAAGGAATTCCGATGAAAAATCAGAGAAATAACCAAATTTCAAAAATGAAAACTATGTGAGTGACTACAGTAGGTACTTACTCATAATGTACCATCCGGATTTCTTCATCTTCCGCTGCAGTTTTTGTGCATTTTACAACAGCACAATGTGATGGCATTAGCGAATTGATGAATAGCGGAAAAATACGATTCATATGCCAAAATAATTGTGGAAAACTATTTCGATCACTTGTAAACAAATATGTTTTGCCTCCAGGGTCAATCATCTGACAGTTCTTGCACGCGTCCTATATCGTTTATGTTGGGGAGTAGATGAGTTAGGTTGAAAATTCTCAACAACCTATATACAAAACATTGAACTAATTTCTTGAAATTCATGATGGAAAAGAAAAAAGCACCTTCCACTCGAAATTTATTCTTGAATTTCTGTTGGGTTCATTAATGCAGCTATTCTTTTATTTTCATATTTTCGATTAATTCATCCATATAGGTCGCGTGCAAGAACTGTCAGATGACCGACCCTGGAGGCAAAACATATTTGTATACAAGTGATCAAAATAGTTTTCCACAATTATTTTGGCATATGAATCGTATTTTTCCGCTATTCATCAATTCGCTAATGCCATCACATTGTGCTGTTGTAAAATGCACAAAAACTGCAGCGGAAGATGAAGGAATCCGGATGGTACATTATGATTCAAAAGTAAGTACCTACTCCTACTATAGTCACTCACATAGTTTTCATTTTTGAAATTTGGTTATTTCTCTGATTTCTCATCGGAATTCCTTCTGCAATAGGATCAGCTAATAGAAATATACCTGAAATTTCTAGAATAATGCAAGAAGATTGGATTAATGCAATCAATCGGTAGGACTGGTCTGACATGCTGACGATCGTGTGTGTTGTAGACATTTTCAATCTATTAGCAGCATTAGCTTGTATTGCAAAAGTGGCAGAAGGCAGAAGGAATTTTAATAAGGAATGACAACATTTCATAATGCTAACTATGTGAGATTACTATTTACCTGAAAAGTCATATTCCCTAGTCTCTTGCTGCATTTTTTGTGCATTGTACAACAGCACAATGCGAAGGCATGCTTGAATTAATGAATAACGCAAGAAACACGATTCGTATGCCGAAATATTGTGAAAAACTATTTCAACCTTTTGATTCCTCTGTAACCAAATAAAAAAGTGAGGTTGTGTTTCAATAATTCACAGAAGAATGAGGTTGTGTTTCAATATTTTGCCTCCAGGGTCGGTCTTCGTGCACGCGACCTATTTGTTTTTAGGCAAATGGCAAACAGCTTTTGTTTGTAGTATTTTGAGGTTATGCTGTTGCTGTCATTTCAGAAGCCACCAAAATTCGTACTTTATATCTGTACATCGGTGGAATGGTTTGCAATTTTGGTTGACACAGGGGGGCCAGGTAGCCGTGCGGATAGAGTGTCAATATTCTCATCCGCATTCGCTTTCCTGTCGTGAGTTCAATTCCCAGCGACTGCAGAAATTTTTCTAATGGCCCAAGAAAGTGTAAGTTTATAATCCTTGGTATGGGATCACACGTCATTCCTTGCTCGCACAAGACTGGTTACGTCAAAGTGTCAAACTGGAATCCATGGAGCCACCGGTGAATGAAAGAACGTTATTATAGCAAATCACTATCAGCCCCAACAGTAAATGCCTTTACAGTATTTTTTTCGATTAATCACTTCCAACAAAAAAAAAAACGTTGCGAGTTCGTGCCACCCTTCAGTCAGATCAATGACGTCAGATTCTGTGGTAGCATTGGTTGAGATCACGGATCACAGATAGCACAGTCATTTGTGTCATGGTTCTGTGGTGGAGATGCCATATTTAATTTAATTTATTGTGTTCGTGTTCCGAGGGAGTGTAGCGTTTTGGTTAATGGAGTTTTATGGAATTTCAATTTTTTGTTTTCCTGAACTTTAAAGTTACAAACTCGCTAACTTCCTATGTATATTAATGGTGTATTGATGCGTATTCGAGAAATATACAACTTTCAGTACTCATTTCATGCCAGTATTTGTGTATAAGTGGTTTCACATGAAACAGCTACTGAATTACCCAATTCAGGTATATGGAATGAATAATCCTGCTTCTTCATGAGTGTAAATTCCAATACTATGGTGAGTGAAAACTTTTGGTGGTGTTTGGCAAAATTATTGTTGGTTCTTTCATTTCCAGGTGGAGAAGATTTATGAACATAATAATTGGGTGAAAGTTCATTTTGTTGACAATTGGCCAATCTAATGGTAAATAAAAATGAATTCCGAGCAGCCCCTGAAGAAGAAGTTGAGGAGAGAAGGTGAAATTGATAACCAAGATGAAACTGACTTTATCCATAACTTAGCTGAAAATAATGTACCCACAAATTTTCAAGCATTACATTTGTCCCTCCCTGCTGACATAAATGAAGATGATATAACAAAAAACCAGGTGAATTCACAACTGCAAAAATATGGGTTCAAGGCAAGTGGAAGTGACATTGACAAAAGTGAAGAAATTATTACAGAATTTGGTAATTTCAATTCATATTGCAACAGCTTAGGTACTAGTCATTCTAGTAGTAGTATTAGTAAATATATTACAATTGATCCTGCCCTGGACACAAAGGCTCGCCCATCTAGTCCATCTGAAAAAGTAGATAAACCAATTTTGCATTCAGGCTCATCTGGTTCTAATGTAGTTATTGCTTCATCTCTCATTGATTCAAAAAATATCTATACAACTACTCATGAAAGATGTTCCTTTGATCAACAAATGGTTGAATTTGTTTCTAAAGATCAGTTTGGCCTTGATGATTTTCAAAATCAGCTTATTAAACAGTGCCTTTGTGCTGTTTCTGAGGAAACTTTGAGGAAACCATTCATTGAACCATCAAATGACAATGAGGGAAGATCCGTTATGGTATCTGAATGGTCAAACAGAAAAATTTTGGAATTCCTTTCAAACTTGCACTTGTTATTTGATGTTTATTTAAAACAAAATAATAAGGGGTTTATATGTTCAAGGATTGTTGATGTTTGTGAAAGTATCATTTGCAATGAATATAATCTCATAGAGCAGATAATTTCACTTTGTGAAACCAGGAACAAATTTGTGACTTATCTGGCAGCCCGTGTTTTCAGTAGTTTTCTGATCATTGCCAAAACCAACATAAATAATGAATGGCTAGAAACTCTGGTGAATTTCTTCACAACTGAAAACATAGATTACATCAAAATGCAGTTTGCTATTGAGATTTTCAAACGGGTAGTGGAATGGAAAGATGTAGAAATTCATGTATTAGAAGATAGGGAAAGCCAAGATTCACCTAGTAGTAGCTTTCAACAAAGGGATGGCAACTATAACTGTATCACTGTACCTTTCTCTGACCCAGAAAGCTATGACACTTCTGCTATAAAAGACTTGGTAATCAAAAGCTTGGAATCCAAATGGCCAGAGCTGATTTATAAAGTGCAAAACTTGATACTCCATAACTCCTCACTTCCTGCTCAGACTTGCACACTCACATTCCTATCACTTTGGGAAAGCATCATTTCTGTCAAGGCAAATTTGAGTGTTATTGAAATTAAACCATTCTATGCTCACTTGGAGATATTTGTTGGAATGTTGAATACTGATTTGGCACCTATAATTTGGAAACAGCTATTGTCCCTTTTCAATGAAGTACTTTGTTATGGCAGTACTTTAGCTCTGCAAGATATGTTGCCTGATGAGACATGCCAACTAGCTCACTTGATTGTTAGATATGTGAAAGATTATCGACTTTTAGATAGCCTACCTGTGAGAAGATCTGAGGAGGTCACAGTGAATAGTTTTGCAGGTCCAGTTATGAATGTTAATTCATCCTCAGTATCACAAATGATCATAGATAAGACATTGTTGCAAAAAATGGTATTGCTAGTGCTCAAATCTGTTGCTATAACAATTAAGGAAACCAGGTCTGACAGTTCAGATTCAAGTGTTGGTTCTGATGATTCTGATTTTTATCATGACATGCAACTTATTGAACGCTCTATTAGGGATGTTTTGAGGAAAGTTGATGCCTTCCTAAAGAACAGTTTGGATTTTCATCCTGAAACTCCCTTCTCAAGGATCTTGATACAAATTTTTAGTGATCAAGATGATTATATGATTGAAGCTATGGTATGCACACTTGATTTGACCACTGGAATCTCTTACAGGAATGCTCTGTTTCCTGATTTAATCAATATGTTGAATCCATTTCACTCGTTTATTGAATTCTTGAATATAGTTAGCCATGATCCAGATCTTTTGTTAGATTATTTAGTCAGTAATGAGACTTGCTTTCTCTTGTATCTTTTGAGGTTTCTGAAATATACAAAACGTAACTGGTCTAGATTCATTAGTAGTTGTGGGGAAGGTGATACTTCAAGAAGCAATGAGCTAGATGATGCTATGTCAGTGTTGATCCGCTTGAAAATGCAGATCAACCGTTTAGTTGACAAGGATTTGTTTCCATATAACATCACTCCAATTATGAGACTATTGGAATTGTGCGAGCGTCTTTATGAAGGGAATGAATTGAGTTAATAAATACATTGCATTTTTTCACAAATTGTCTGCCTACTGACATTTTAACAAGTACAAAATTTTCATTACACCCCTATAATAGTATAACCATTTTGTTCATAATAATTTATGAATGTTGCAGGTAACAAAACATAAGTCTGTATAATTATTGTCATAAGTTAAGTAATTTATTTACCATATTTATTATTATTATATCACTAATATTATTTATTATCATAACATGGAATAATATTTTTATATATATATATCTTGAATATGTGAACCAATCACATATTCTGAAAAATAAATGACTGTTCTGTATAATATCTATCATGAGAGTATTATATTTTTTAAGAGATGACATGCAGTTTTATCATGATTTTCTTCAATAAAAATAGTGAATATTGTCCATATAATTTTAAGTGGGTTCAATATGAATCCCAATAGAAAATTTGTTATTGTTTAGGATGGATGAAAATTCTTAATTCACCTAATAGTATTCTTAAGAATCTACATAGAGGTTAATTCAGAAAATTTGATGAAGTCATTATTATTATATTCTAGTGGAGAACTCTTATCAAGTTTGTGAGCCAGTGGGTATTTTGTATAATTCCCTAGTAACAGGTCCTGTCAGCAACTGAGTTGACTATCACTTTGATGTTTTTTTAAATATTTCTGACAATCAATAGAAACTCTCAATTCAACTAATCAAAATATTATATTATAGTGGAAAACATTATTTTGTATGTTATTGCTGCTGGAATAAGTTGAGGTACCTACTTAGAATGACTTACACATGTCATATAGTTACCTTCGATCATAGACCTATTCACAATTACTCACATTGAGATGTTGATGTTTTTTAGAACCTCCATAGATTACTGTGATTGATTACTGAAACCCCTAAAATTCGAAAATCACTACTTGACAAACATTGACATTGATAAAATAATTATCAAGGTGAAGAAAGTTCGGATTCCGATTAAAATAAAAAAATATATACAAAAAATATAAGTTCACAAATATTTCATTCTGAAACATAGGTCCATAATAGCTAGTTCTATAGTTATTAACGTTACAAGGCCGATATATAGAAAATAACGGATGAACATTGTAATCCGAGGCGCAGCCGAAGATTATAACAACCAAATCCGTTATTTGCTTATCGGCCGTGTGTCTTTCGTGACTTTTCGTAATCCCGCTGGAAGATTATATTTTGATTCCGAAGAAAGAAGAAACCACGTACCTCGCAATGCTACAGAAAAATCCCAACATCGTGTTGTTATGGAACCGTTAACGGCCTCCGGCTGTTAACATTAACTTTCCAATTGTCATCTGAATACAGTTGAATCCAAACAACTGTATGGGATTACGAAATAATCTTTTTTAATTTTTTTTGTTCTAAAATTTTCATTATGATCATACGATCAACTCTCAGAAGTCTTCAAGAGACTTGTGCGAGCAAGGAATGACGGGGGCCTTACCTTTTAACGTTTGATCCTAGGCACTTTCTTGGGTCATCAGAAAAAAATCTGCAGTCGTTTGGATTTGAACCCACGACCGGCAAGTAAAAAACTAACGCTTCGATCACGCGGCTACCGGGCCGTGTGGACACACCATGCATTAGAAGTATCGGGTCTAAGCCCCACTTTTTATGACCCAAAAATGCTTTTTTTGATGTAGTTTAAATTGCAGGGTTGGATTTTTTTATTTAGTAATTAAAAAAAAACTCAGGTAATAGCTATTTATATAGCAAGGGAGGGAAGGTATCCATTTCCTCCCGCGTGTGGCATTAAACAGTAAACACACATGGGAGGAAATTAACCTTTGCTTCCATGATATATGATTTTATCAATGAATGCATTCTTTTGAAGCATCATTCTTGAAATTGTGCTTCAGGCGGTCTATCTCTTGATCCAAATACTTATGCATTACAAATGTATAGTATGCCATGGACAATTGAAACCATTTGAATGAAAGTCAATTATGTCATCATGAATTAATTGATTTGTTGGATTGCACAGATTTCATAGGTATATCGACGCCAAAGGATGCATGCTGAAGCCAAATTATTTCACCTCCCACGGGAGCTAATATTTTTTCCTCCCGCGGGAGTGAATTGACAATTTTGTTTCCTTAAATGAGGGAGCAAACGCCTACTTCCGATTCAGTATAGAACTATAGAGGTAATTGATGGCTAAAAATATAGGATATGGTCCCTAGAGTCCCAATGGTCCCTTGGATCATTTTGACAAAAAAGTTCATATGAACATATATTCCCTAAACTTCTTATCTTTTGAGCTAGTGTTTTCTTGTCATAACTTCAATGCTGTTCTAGATATTTTCATTAAATTGCCCTACAGCTACAAAGCACCAATAGACACTTTTTGATGCAGGAGGCTTTTCATTTCTTCTACCAGTGGCGTCCATGTGGGATGTTTGTCTGGAGATCCCAAAAAATAAAAATCATTTTTAAAATTCTCATTTACTTTGCAGCAATTTGACCTCTAGAATTTTTTTCGTCTGATGCACCATTGTTTTGACAAGTATTTATACGGGTGTCAACGAATCTATTAGACAAGTCGTAACTTCTAGACCATAAGGTGTATCGAAATGAGATTTGGTATAGGTAAATGGTATGTGAAGAGGAGAGATTTTACATATTTTCCAATTTCCAAGATTAGTTTACTTCCGAACATGGCCACCTAGATGTAATTTCAAAAGTGACTCCGAAAGTATGCATAAAAACTTTCGAAAATGTCACATTCTGATCTAGAATTGTCTCAGAAATCCAAAAATTTTACAATATACAGGGTGTTCCATTTAAAAATTTAGAACCAGAGTGACCGAAAAGTGAAAAATATGTGAAAACTCTCCTCTTCACATACCATTTACCTAGACCAAATCTCATTTTGATACACCTAATGGTCTAGAAGTTATGACTTGTCTAATAGATTCGTTGACACCCGGTAGACGTAATGGTTTTTTACATTGTGAAAGTTTCTTTAATCATCAATAAAGAGAAAATGAAATTTCAACACCCTATAGCTCGAAAGTTGAGAGGTTTAGGGCATGTATACATATGAACTTTTCTTCTCAAAATGAACTAAGGAACAATATCATATATTTTTAGCCATCAATTAAATTATACCCTGTATGTTTGGTTTTTCAAAAAACTAAACTGAATAAATCGGGCCATGAAAAGTTGTGAGATCAGCCTCTTTTGCATTTTTTGCGAAATCAGTATCGTTTTTGATAATTCTCCAGGACAGGTTGATGATTCAGTGGGTTAGAGTTGAAGTGATTTCATTATGTTTTTAGTTTCCAGAAAATCGCAAATCAAATAGATTTTACCGAGGGGTAAATTTCCTTGGAAGTCTGGTGTACACTACGCTGGTAGTCATTGGTAGTCACTGGTAGTCACTGGTAGTCATTGGTAGTCATTGGTAGTCATTGGTAGTCATTGGTAGTCACTGGTAGTCACTGGAAGTCATTGGTAGTCACTGGAAGTCATTGGTAGTCACTGGTAGTCATTGGTAGTCACTGGTAGTCATTGGCAGTCTTTGGAAGTCAGATGAATTTTCGAAAACATAATTAGAGAGATTATTGAAATCAATTGATAATAATTGCATATATTGAGAAACGAATATTGAATCAGTGATTAATAAAAATAATTGTGTACTTATTTGTTGATTTGTTTTGATGATTTTTTAATCATGAAAAAAAATTCTCGGTCGACTACTGCAATTGAGATCGCAATGTCCCCAATGCAAGTGATTCTATTCAATAGTCTATATCGAGGTCTTATACTTGTACTACTCTATACGGTGCCTAAACTTTTTCAACGCAAAGTTTACAGAATGTTGAAAACAGCTCCAGCAAAAAAATCGGTCGTGTGGCGGGTGGCGGCGCCTTTCCCTATGAATACTATGCCGACACATAGGCGGCGTTGGCCTATTTCTACCAATCATATTATTTTTCTTCCCACACAGCAGGTTTCATTATAAGAACCTCGATTCATAATAATAAAAATCGTATGTCTCTGGAACTCCCTGAGGTATTAGCACAATCCCGTCACTATTTTGAATATGTAGGTGTTCGTTAATGTATTCTTTTCCAGTTCATTCATATTAGGTACCTATGTGAAATTGACATCAGCCCTATTATTCTACTAAACATTCCATAAGTACTCATTCCTCGACTTATTCTTAGTTAAAAGAATTGGGTTGAGAAATATAATTTCACTAAATTTAAATATATCATGAAAATGGAAATAGTTTTATTCATATATTATATCCCAATACCTATGAATATAAGCGATTAAACTATCGAAATATTTTGAATTTTGAGCATGATTTTTCTTGAAAAATGCACGATAATAAATTGATCAATTTATTGTGCATGAAACAATTTGCCAAGAAGCAAAATCATGCAAAAAAAGTTTCGATAATTTGTTGGTCGAGGGTATACGGCTAGATTATTTCCAGATTCACTTTACAGTATTAGTTGGCAAACTTTTATGAATTGCCAGATCCATACAATCACACGAAATATTACTAAAACGTAAATTCATCATTTTCACTAAATCGTTCAATCAAACGATTCTCTAGAATGACACTCAGTGGATAGATAATATTCGTGTTTCTATTACCTTGGTTACGCATCCGAAACAATGCATCCGTAATGCATCTAAGAAGCATTAATCTCGTCATTCATAGCAAAGTGCATGTAAATATTTCAAATTCTGACGTGTTGTCATCGCCTTATGTCAAATTATTTGTTGGAGAAATCTATCTGAAATTAAGTTTTTATTGATGAGAATATGAGAATCAATATTAGGACAATAATAGAAAGTATCAGTGAAAATCGAAAAAATGAAAAACAAAAAATTATCCGCGGTTAAACAGGTCTTGTGCTTCAATCACTTATCTAATCAGATTTCGCTCGCAAAATGGTGATGTCTGATTGGTCTATTTCATGATAAGGGAAATAATCATTATTATCTATTGCCTCATTGCATCCTTTGACAATTCAACATCGCGTGCAATAAACACTATTTGCACGAGTTGCATACAATATTTTTTTACGTTTATGCCGGTTTATGCAAAAACCAAATAATGTTTCATTTAGGTGGTACTAAGTGTCGAAAAACAAAGCTCAATTTAATAGAAAAATATTTGATAAATAATTATCACTATCGATCTGCATCGAAAAATTAAGGAGCGAATTTGTTAGGAACAATTTAACTTGAACTTTATTTTTACCATCATTAATATTGGAAATAAATAAAATAAACTAAATAGGACGACGGTTTGAACAATTATATTTGTCATGATTACAAAACGCTATAGGTAGTAGAATGACAGATGAGTGAAATAAAAATCAATGAGGTTTTGTTTTGTGCATGAACGTAAAAAAATACAATGGCTAGAACCGAGGCTAGGAACTATCCATAAAATGGCTGAATTAGTAAAAACTATTTTTCACAGTACGAATATTACACTCTTCACTATTGAAGGTTTTAGAAGTGGATTGTCATCAGGACGAATGAACAGTGCGTAAAATACAAAATTCCTTTTTTCCGAGTTTTTTTCTCAATCACATGAGATTCATAATTCCTAATCACTATCTTTCATTTTTCTTATTGCTCTTCTGATGCGGCGATTGATATCTTCAAATGTTTCTTTCAATTGCATCCCACAAACCATCCAAACAAACGAACCAAGGGATTTAAAGTACTCTTTTTCGAAATTTCCCATTTTGATAATTTCTAATAGTTTCCCCGTAACATGCTTGAATTTCATGCTTTTCCAATATTTGACTTTGGAAATACAATAATAGATCACTTACGCAGAAGACCTCGGGCTTCGAGCAGTCGTGGGCCCTATAACCCTTGGAAGATATTCCGTAGGTACGCTTATGCTGCATTCGAGATCAAAGACGAGCGCTGACGAATGCAAAAGCGCGAAAACTATCGTGAAAACGTCGTTGGAGGGGCGGCTCGTTTGTTTTAAGATTCATTTTCATTTGTCTCATTTCATAATCCATCTTTCCGACTTTTGCGAGTGCTTATTAGCGAATTTCGCAGTTGAAGTTATTTGTGATAAGTTAATAGTTGAGAAATCGCAAATGGTTCTTTTTCTGTTTTAATAACCATGGATGAAACTGAAGACTTCTTCGTACAAGTGGAGAAATCCCTTAGAATTAAAATACCACACAATGTGAAATTGCATTTAGCACTTTCTGGTTTCGGTAATAGTGTATCACTGGCAGATATAACTGACAAAGACATTCAAGACATGGAATTATTCGCAAAAACAGATTTGAAGGAGATAGTTCCTAATTGGAATGAGTATTTGGGAGTGTTTAAAGAGAAAATAGACTCGTTTCGTTTTTTTTCGGGGGAGAAAGTTCTCATCTACAAGATGAAAGAGTTCGCTCAGAAGATCAGGAAAGATGTCGAAAAAGATAACAATATTACCAGTACTTCATTTTCAAGGGCAGCAAATGCGCGATCGATAAATAATGATAATAAAAAAAAACTGGATGATAGGGGTGACGATTCGGAACAAGTACAACCGAGGATACAACATGATAACTTGGTGGAGGAGGTTGGAATGCTGAGACAAGTCGTCAAAACGGGAATTCTAAATCGCATAAAGAGTCTCAAAAAAGAAGATCATCGGATATGCATGGAACCTTTTAGAGACCACGAGTTCATAGTAAAATTAGATCAATTGGACAATGTTTATTCAAACATCAAATGTCCAATCTGCGAAAAAGAAATAAAGGTGAGTTTTATTGTGATTTTTATTTTATATGAACGCCTTTCACTATAAGTGTGCCCAAGTGCGTGCCATTCCAAGGTCATTAACGTGAAAAATTTTGATTCCTGCTGCAGATGACGTCACGTGGTTAGCACTTCATTAAGACTACATATTATAATATGAAGGCAATATAGAAAATTCTTGATTATTTATTTTTCTTAGGGGAATAAATTACTTCCCATTATTATTGAGCAATTTTATAATAATTGATAGATAATATGCACAATTATTTTCTCGAAAATTGTTTTTTTTTCGATCTGCAAGAACCGCACGCAAAAACAGTTAGACGAACGACTTCGTATAAGTGTTTGCGTGCGGAAATAGCTATTTGTGTAGGTTAGAGCGATAAGTGATAAATTGCCGCTCAACAAAGAAAGTTACCACGCGACGTGAAGCGGGGCGCGGTAATATTTGGAGAGCGGCAATGACACTTTGTGCTCGGAATACACACAAGATTTTTTCTACAAACGCAGCTCTTGGAAAAAACACTTGATTCTTTACTCAACATATTACATATATAATATGGACATAGTAAACTAATAACAAAACAAAAAATACTTCAATTGTTAACATGCATTGAACAATATTCATGAAAATAATCATTTCAATTCATTATTCACTAGATTGAAATTGAATGTACAATGATAGCAATCTCTAATAGCGTATATGAGAGCGACATGCGCGAGCGCGTTTTTTAAATTTTTCCGCTCACGAGCGCAAATGCTGTCAAAGAATGACATTTCTCGGAAAACGTAATCTTTGTGTTGAGATTTTGGAACAAAATTTTTCCTACGGGTACTTTTCCGCACTCATCAGTTCGGAAAAAATCTCATCTGCACGGCGTGCGGAAAAGTGTAACTTTGGGCACGCAAATGTATGCAGAAAAGTACTAGTTAGCGCACGGTCGTAGGAAAAATCGTTTTCTCCAATCGTTCAAGCTGTTTGAAAGAAAAGTAATTTTTCTGATTTTTCGGCATTAAAGCCATATCAAAGTGATAACCACGTGATGGAAAAAGAAATTGAACCGTGTGTGTATCGTGGCTTAATTGAAAGTACCGGAACGATTGAATATCTCTAAATTCCCTGAGGAGAGTTGATTATAGAAATGAAAATAAAAAAAATTAAATTAACCGACTTCAAATAAATGCACTAAACAGAGAAAAATAATTTGATAACTGAACTGATCAATAACGTGCGCTGATATAAGTCATATTATTTTGTTCTTTTTGAAAAAATTAAAAACCTATACCAATGTGATACTTGTTGAGATATGATATTCTCATCGACAATTGTTTTGCATGGGAACTCTTAATTATTATTTCAGATTCCGAAAAAGCTCATTTTTTACGTTTTTTGTTCATACAGGGTGTCGGCAACAATTTAGGCGCAAGTATAAGAGCTCGAGTAAGAGCTCAGGCTCAAGGGCAGGCCTCGGGGCAGGCTCTAGCTTTCAAACAGATTGTGATCAATGAAGTAGTGGATTAGTGGATATTTTCGTTAAAACTCTCAAACGGGTCAATTTGTATTCTTATTTTTGCGTTTTTTTCAATTGAATTCAAATTTACGATTGAATAATTGATTATTCTACGGGGTGTCCCGATTCCCGAATTGAATCAAATCAGTTTGGGAATTAGGACCTGACCTCGGACCTGACAAAATTTACGGATTCTGATGCATGCGGAATACAAAATGTCCCAAATTGATTGGCCAGTAATACAGCATATTTTCTGTTTCTTTTCTAATTCCTTGCAAGATTTCTTGATCAATATGGCATTCGGCGGTAATTGTTTCGCGAAGTTGTCATAGGTTGGGTATGTTGTACGCCTCGTAACAATTGGAGGTTTCTGTTTAAAAATTGTCGATGACCAGTATCACCCTTTATATTTAATTTGTTTTAGAAAAAACGCAGAAATCATAACAAAAATCGCTAATAATATTAAAATAAAGAAGGTAATATTGAGAGCAGGGTAACACTTATTCCAGCACACTGTATTTTGAAGTTGGTGCTATGGTGCTACATTTATAACGTACTTTACTCGGTACTATAGTTTGTAAGTCAAGGTAGGTTAGATCGGTTTAGATATTATTAGATAATAAATTGGCGCCGCCTTCTAAAATGGAATTTCATGTACAAGGTCTTCACGTATATTTTGAACCCCCTCGAAACTTTTTTATTTATTATTCGATTTTGTTTTTCAAAATACGATCTTTCATATTTTTCCTGTCAATTTCTAATATTTAAACCAAAAAAACAGTTGAAAATTAGATAAAAAAGTTATTGGCAACTAATTAAAATTTTTAAATGGAACACCCTATATATTTTACTATCATTATATACCTACATTATATTTTTCTGATTTCAGAGATGTGTATGGAAATATTATGTTATCTCTTACAGTTTCCGAGATATTCGATGTTGAAGTTTACATTTTCTTCAAGATTTTCTCAGGTGATCACGACATTTTATGTGGCCAGGGTATAGTGTCTGTCAAGGACGAATCAGGACTATTCGGGGCCCGCACCTTATTGTTCCAAATTCGCCTATCCATCAGCCATTATTTCTCATAGTTTTCATTCAAAATTTATTGAACAACAAATATGACGAGGAAATCTGAAGAAAATGTAAACTTCAACATCAAATATCTCGGAAAATGTAAGAGATAACATATTTATCTATATAATGACAATAAAAAAAAATCATTAATAGTTATTTGAGTCATGGAATTTTCCTCTGAATTTTCTTTTTAAATATAATTCATGCCATGAGAATAACAGATAATTGTCATTGCACTCATTATATTACTACGAGTATTACTACTGGATATTCAATCGGTCCGGGTAATTGTATCACGACCAGGTGAAGAACTGTAACTACTCAAATCAGTAGAAATAATAATTCAAAATATACTGATTTTCGTGAAAATTTTCAGGTTCAAAAGTTCAGAAATATACATAGCTGTCGATGGGTGACTACGAATTTCACACGCCATTACGTGAATCACATTCCCGGACTAGTTAGCAGCTCTTCTTCAACTGGTACGGAGAAAGAATCAAATAAAAGTACACTGTTCCAAAAATCTATAAAAACATTCATAACATCAGAATCTTCAAGGAAAACGGCCGAACATGCTTTCAACGACGTCCAAAGTGAAAAACATTCTGAGAAGCAGAACGCAAATATAGTAATAGTCACAGATGTCCAAGTCCACCCCCCTACTATAAATAAGAGAAACCAGGATTCACTCAGTTCTATGGATGCCTCAACCGACACAGAACAAAAAAAAGAAAGACTTATCCAAAATGATTTTCGAGATGAAGCTAACAGCCTATTACCTCACAACGCACTCATTGGTGAACGAGATGGTGAACGAGTTGGTGAACAAGTTGGTGAACCCAGAACTAGACTTAGACGTATTTTTCCTCGTATTGCTCAAACGAATTTCGATGATATAATTACAATTCCTGAAAGTGAACCATTGAATAAAGGCCCTTCCAAGAGGAGAAAAATCGATGAAAGCGATGAACTTGAATCTGAAGAGAAAGAAAACCAGGGAGAAAATCTCGAAAACTCCTCATCAGATGATTCAAAACCATTACAATTTTTTCTAAAGAGCAGAGGTTGTAAAGAGACCTCTTCCTCTGCTAAACAAGGTAAAAGGTCTCTAGAAGAATCAATTCACCTACGGAAAATTGATGAAAACAGAAAATGGAATCGGAATAAATACACTAGAGCATCCAGAAATCGAAGACGGCGTGAAAATATCAGTACAAAAACCAAGCAATATCAACTTCTTATAACAAACTATGTGGAACATCTGGATCAAATAGAATTTGTCATGAAAGAAAATGATGATCTCAAGAAAATTTTATTTCAGGAGATTCCTGAACTGAATACCACAGATACAGAGAGTAATATTCCTGTATTTCTCAAAATTTTGAATAAAGCTGCACAACAAAATATGAAATTGACAAAAAATAATAAATTTTCTGATGACCTTCTCCAATTTTCTGTTTACCTGTTCATAATAGGTGGCAGGCTTCTTTACGAAAGCTTGTATGCCAACTTGAAGAAATCCCTGCCATCGGTTTCTACTGTCACAAGAACAATAGCATCTACAAACAATTTTGAAGAGGGGGTTCTGCGATTCAGAGAGTTGAATGAGTTTTTGGAGAAAAGAAAGCTGCCCAAAATAATATGGATTAGCGAGGATGCTACCAGAATCACTGGAAGAATTCAATACAATCCCACAAGTGACACTTTGGTAGGATTTGTTTCTCCATTCGAAGAAAACGGGCTTCCACAAAAAAATGCATTTGTGACTTCATCTGCACAAGAAATTGAGTCATATTTTCAGAATATTAATAAGGCAAATTATGCATATATAATCATGGCTCAAACACCAATAGATAAGTCACCATCATTTTGTGTAGGTGTTTTCGGAACTGATAATAGATTCACATATACCGACTGCTTAAGGAGATTGACAACTATAAAAATGGAAGCAGAGAAATATGGCATAAAAGTTATAGGTTTTTCTTCCGATGGGGATGCTCGACTGATGAAGTGTATGAGAATAATTACAGATTTTCCAACTACAGAAAGTATTATGCCAGATGAAAATTGGGACTGGTTCAATATGAGTCTGCTTCCTTCGACTATTTGTATCCAAGATACAGTACACATTGCCACAAAACTAAGGACCAGAATATTGAAAGAACATTTACCATTGATATTAGGTAATTATGAAGTAAAGCTGTCTCACTTGAGAACCTTGATTCGGAAAGAAAGCAAAGATAAACATTTTCTCACTGAAAGTGACCTGAAAGCAGAAGACAAAATGAATTTCAAGTCGGCCGAGAAAATGTGTTCTGAAGTTGTGATACAGCTCTTAGACAAACAAGGGGAAGATTATATCGGGACGTCAGCTTTTCTTCAAGTCATGCAGAACATAATCAAATCCTTTTTATCTAAAACTGAAACTATCTGTCACCGACTATATCTGATCTGGTATTGTGTGTTTTTTTGTAGGTTATGGAGAGGTTGGTTGCATGAAGAGAGAAATTACACAATTTCCAAAAATTTCATTTCCCTGAATAGTTATTTGTGTGTAGAATTGAATGCTCATGCATTGGTCCAATTAATAAGACTCTATCGAGATAACACTGACATTAGAAAAAATGCACAATTTACGCCATGGCTTTTCAGTTCCCAACCTTGCGAGCAAATATTCCGATCAACTAGATCCATGACATCTACTTTCTCCACAGTCGTAAATTTCAGTTTATTGGAGATAATGCAGAGACTTAACAGAATTCAATATCTTCAGAATGCTGTGTCTGATCTTTCAAATACATTTGTTTTTCCCAGAGAAAGTAATAATAAATTGGGAGCTATTACTAGCTTTCAATTTGAAGAAAATTTTCCGGGGGACATTGAAATTTCTTCCATCATAAATAAAGCTTTGTCGGATGCATATAGGGTTTGTACGAAATTAGGCATGAAAGTTGATTTGAAATATGGAAAAAATGTATGTTTTTTGAATAAACATTTTGATGAACAGGATAAACAATTTCTCGAGCAGGGTATAGATCTCAGTATAGATGATTTAGCTTGTGATTCAAATCCAGATCTTTTGTGTTCACTTGAAAATTCAGTTCCTACTAGGGAAGAAGAAATTATATGGAAAGCACATGATGAAATAGATATTATAGAAAGAAATGGAAACGCGACGGAGAATGTCGACTTGCTCTCGGACTTGCCAACCGAATTGAAAAATTTTGGAAATTTTTTGAATATTAAAGATTATGGAGTTCAGTCATCTGCAAAAAAAGGTAAACATTTTCTAGACGTACTAATAGAGGGGAAAGTTTTCACATTGAAAAAATCTACATTGTGTTGGCTTTTTGACAATAATTCAAAATTGAGCTCCGACAGGCTATTGAGATTCAAATCTTCTGATAAAAAACAATCGAACAGCAAAGTGAAAGATGACGTTCAAATAGAATTAGAGAAATATTACGCAGTCTTTTATAGTGAGAATTGGTATATTGGCAGGGTCATCAGTCAGATCAGCAATATATGTTTTAAGATTAAATTCCTAACTTCAAATCTACAAGATTTTGTGTGGCCAAGACATGATGACATCCAAGAAGTGGAATTAGAATTCATTTTTTATGGCCCAATAAAGATGATTGGTGTAGGAAATATGACTATTTCTATGAATGACAGAGATAAAATCAATTCCATTTTCAAAGGTATGAAACGAAAGTAGAAAGTTGGAACAAAGTGTCGGAATACTTCTCTCAAGAACAGATTCACTTGAAAAATATTTAGGTACCAAAATATATGAAATCAATTTTTTACTTTATATTACCTACTTATGTATTCTATTTTTGTGGAGTGAACATATTATTTTCGAATGCGTTTTTTTATGTTGAACAAAATGTTATTTTATAGTAAGATACATGTGTGAAATGGACAAAAATCAATAGTTCAATTAATAAATATAATTGGCTTTGATTTTTGTGGAGTGAACATATTATTTTCGATACGTTTTTTTCATGTTGAACAAAATGTTATTTTATAGTTAGATACATGTGTGAAATGGACAAAAATAAATAGTTCAATAAATGAATATAATTGGCTTTGATTTTTGTGGAGTGAACATATTATTTTCGAATACGTTTTTTTATGTTGAACAACATGTTATATTATAGTTATATACATGTGTGTAATGGACAAAAGTCAATAGTTCAATAAATGAATATAATTGGCTTTGAGAATCAACGTTTTTTCATTGAAATTACCATAACTATATATACTGCTAAGTCCACATAATTCTGTTTGAGACGTGATGCCCTGACGTGAACCATACTAAAAGTACTATAGGTATGTACTCAAAATATTGCATCTTCCAATACAGGGCAGTACAAATTCGAATAAATACGTTTGAGTTTTATCTAAACATTCCTTTCCTAAATCTTGTTCATGTTCCGAAATGAAGTTTTTTAATCTTGGAATATGAAGAAAGTTCAAAGAAACCACTTAGAACCAGTAAAAGGAAATATATTTTTCGAGATTTATTTTTAAATCAGTAACAATTATTGTTTCGCATTACCAATTCGTAGTGCACCACCTAATATCATTGTCTTTGTAGTGTCAAAAGAGAATTCATTAAATAATCATAATCCCATCTTTCGGATACCTATATTTTTTTTAATTAAAAATATGAAACAACTTACTTATTTCAGAGACTTTGTTCAATTGTTTCATGCAAGGTTAAATTGAATTCAATAATAGTCAGACTCCAGAAGTCACTAGAAGCAACTGATAGTCACTGGTAATCAGTGGTAATCGCTGGTAATCAGTTTTAGTCACTCGTAGTCATTGGTAGTCACTGGTATTCATTGGTAGTCACTGGTAGTCATTGGTAGTCACTGGTATTCACTGGTAGTCACTGGTAGTCACTGGTAGTCATTGGTAGTCTTTGGTAGTCTTTGGTAGTCATTGGTAGTCTTTGGTAGTCTTTGGTAGTCATTGGTAGTCATTGGTAGTCATTGGTAGTCTTTGTTCATTGGTAGTCTGGTGTACACAATTTTTTTGGAGATTTACCCCTCGGATTTTACCGACTGGTCTTCTCAAATGAAACCATAAGGGTCGTCCACTTTATTTTTAGCTATGATTGTTTATTGACTATAAAATTTATTCAAAGATAGTGCCTTCTATCTTCTAGTACCGAAACTTGGGAAACTACTTTATTTCTATTGAAATTGCCTTTCCAAGAGTGCTATTATTGTTCAGTATTCAAATCAATTTCAATAACTTAGAATAATATTTACAATGACTAGATATACAGGTGTTTCCGAAATTGAAGTGATAAACGAAGTGGGTTATAGAATACAAAAGGCAATAGAAGTAGGTACCTACATCTTAAAAAATATATATTTTGTGAGATTGTTGACTTTGAAGTTGAATATTAATAAATCATTGATAAGAAGGTTAACATCCGGATCCGATCGTTTGCTTTCGGCGAGGTTAGAAGCACCGGAAGTATATAAATTACTTTTGCTATATCGCTGGGCGATCAATAATAGTTGAAAGATGTGGAATGGTATGACGAGTGTAAATTCATTTTTTACTTTCAAAAACATTTTTTTAATTGTTTTTTTGTATCATAGAACATCCAATTTTATTTTTTGCTTCAATTTCAAGAGCACCCTGTATAAAGTTGATAATAATTATAACTTTTTGTACTGTATATATGTATATTAACTTTTTTACTAAATGTGGAAAGAAAAAACATTGTTTTATTTTACACCTCAAATAATATATAGTATGTAAGTTTATGTCACGAGCGTAGCGTTCGTTTTTTGTTCAATTTTCGGTATTGAATTTCTCGTTAATTAGAAGAATTTGAAAAATCTGTTATCATTGGAATATTCGTTAGACTGTATCATATTGACGTGCTGAATATGTGCACTTATTTCAAAAGCACCTCGTATATGCATATGACAAGTCGTTGTTGATAAATACCTATTAGATTCGAATGCCATTCCTGCGAATCTTGCTTCAGAACAGTGAATTCGGGTTAATTATAACAGAGGGCTATATCTTCATCGACTATAGTGGTTCATAAAACGACGAAAACTACCTCGGTATTAAAAACAAACTTTATGCCTTGAAAATAGGGTTTGCAATCCCGGAGTAATAATACAATCCCGGGTTTCTGGGATCAAATTGATACGAACCCGGGATTTCGGTATCGGGATAAGAATTTGAAAAAAGTATGGGGTATACTGTAGATACGTAGGTAATGATTACATAAATACTCGTATATGAACAAAAAATTTAATCTATACATAAAAAATTAAGATAAAAAAGCCGAGCATTTATTACTCACAGTGTTGACTGAACCAGGTGCGTACAAAAATCCAATCGTAAATGGTATTATCTGCGAGTCGAGTGCTGATTTTTGTACAAATGGTACCAGCTGCGGAAAATACTCTTTCATATTCTACACTAGTTGGTGGTATATAGTTGTTAGAAGATATGTACTTTTGTTGTCACCATTTTCGGAAAGAGTAATTTCCTTTGTTCAATTTGATGATATCTTATTGTATAGAGGTTGAGTCAGTAACACACTCGGTGACGCTTGACTCGCAAAAGGAATTCTATCTTCCTCATCATCTTATTCCTCAATCATTACCTCTGGAACTATTAAGAAACGTTTTATATGACTCACGAGTATCTCCTTAATAACTTTTTTCAAGAACTTCGAATAATAATAATCTGAATCACTTGACGAGAGGGAAGTCTCATTGGTCAAAACTAATCCCGAAAAACCCGGGATCTAATCGGATGTGATCCCGGGCTTCTCGGTATAAAAATATCACCAGGACCCCGGGATTTCCGGTATCGGTATTTCGGGATTGCAAACCCTACTTGAAAATGAGTAAATACAGGGTGTCCCACTAAGGTCGGCGAGGTACGATATTATGGAAACCATTAATAACCTTACAGCTACGGGAAAAAAATCTATTGACAAAATCGGCGATGACAAATTGATTAAAAATATTTTCAAGTTTCTAAAATGACCGCTAGGGGGCGAAATCACTATGATGACAATGAGAAATTCGAATTATCAGAAAATCACTGTGTAAGGTGATTTTTTGATAACGGAAATGATAAGATTATCAATTTATCGTTTTGTTGTTTCTCAGACTTTTTTTCGTATCTTTAATAATAATGGTGGGGGAAGCTTGTGAACAAAATATTTTTTCTCCGATAGGCAGCAAATATTAATTTTGCTGACACATATCAATCAGCGAAGTATTACTTTTCCTGCCTAGGCAGCAAAGTGGTTACTTTGCTGATTGATATGTATCAGCAAAATTAATAATCCATAAATCGTTTATAATTTCCTTCAGATTTCATCCGAGACTTCTCCGGCAACAAATTCAACCCTATATTTTTTGCCACCTCCCTTATTTCTGGAGGTTTAAGTACTTCCAGGTCGCTATCACTGTCCATTATTTTTTCGCACTACTGTCAGAAATTTCATGAATTGTCAAACTATAATTATTATGGACATTTCCAAATAAAGCAACCAACCATTCCAACAACTGCGCTGTCTATCAAATTTTATTTTAATTGAACACTACAGGAAAAATAAAGAGATATTATATCATTATGAAAAATCGGAGAAAAAAGTATATGTTCAACTCGGCAGCAAAGTAGATTGACTGCCTTAGCTGGATTCCTAGCCTCGCTACGCTCGGCTATGAATTCAGCCTCGGCAGTCGTCAATCTACTACTTTGCTGCCTAGTTAAACAAATAACTATTTCAAATTGCTGTATCGTCCATACCCCTTATCCAAATTCAAACTTGGGCTCGTATTGAAGATAATTTCACGCATATTCAAAATCCGAATTCGTTTACGGTCGCTAGTTCATACCGCGTCTTATAGAAGGCGCCGTTTACCGACTATTCGATTTTTCTGGATTTTCACGATAAAAATCCAAAAACAATTGCAGAATCTTGTGCCACACCTGCAGTCACTTCAAAGGAAACTTCAAACACGCCGACGCCGCACAGGGCGGGTTATTCTGCAATTGATATTGGATATACTATACATGTTTGCATCCGTGGTCTCGAAGAGCATGGAAATGCCTACATTCTGGCGCAAACCGCGATTCGATAGCTTCATCTGTCTTCGAGTTAATGTTTCCATAATATCGTACCTCGCCGACCTTAGTGGGACACCCTGTGTAATATGGTATAGAGGTTCTACAGCTAATTGGTGGAAAACCCAAATTAATAGTATATATTTTCAATGACAATGATGTTTATTCAGTATTATATGTCATTTAGAATATTCATTAATTATTAATCATAAATATTACAATTATTGCTTAGGTAGGTATATCTTAAAAGATACCTAAATCTTGACCAAAAGTAACTGGTTTTTCGAAGTCATCTCTTATTTTCAATCTTACAATGACATTGACTGAAGTACCTATACACCCCTATATATACCGGGTGGGCGGGTGGCTACGGAAGTATTGCCTACGGAATATCTCAGTTATTGTATGAAGTAGGTTTGTGAAATTTGGAGCGTCGATATAATGACATAAGAGCTAGAATTTGAGCATATTGACATGTCGAAGTTAACTTCCAGTCTGACCGGAAGTAACATCAACTTTCTTATTTTAAATGAAAACCCTATTTTTTTTCTTTTCGCTCTATTCAGCATTCAATTCCCTTTTTAATGA